GTCACCTCTACCCCGACACCAACCATACCAGTAGCCGCTAAGGCGCAGATTACGAGGGAGACAACCAGCGTGGGTAGAATGCCAGAAAGGGCTCTATCTGAACATAGAGCCCGCTCTACCACTAGAGCGCGCTCTACCCACAAGCAAAGAGAGCAAATCCAGGAGCCCCAACCCCCCGAGACAATTGCCAACGCCTTCTTATAGGAGAACAACTACCACCGGCCTCGAAACAGCAGATGCAATCCAACGTCTGGTTGGTATTGCCATCGAGGTCGGCACGCAAGTCCTGGCTGACATAAGAGCCGGGACAGATCCAGTGACAGCGATAATGAAGGCGCTGGCAAACCTCCTAGCCCGGCACTATGGAGGAGCGTAATCTGCGCCTCCTCTATTGGAACCCGGACGGAATACAGCAGAAGCTGCATGAACTCCGCACAGTCGCCCAGCAACAGGATATACATATTATACTGCTGGGCGAAACAATATTAAATCCAAAAACGCGCATTAAGCTGCCAAATTACCACATCTACAGAAGGGACGAGGTCACTTCTCAAGGGGCCGCCTATAGAGGGACGGCGGTTCTAGTGAGGAGGGACATCGTCCATCAAGAGCTGGAATTACCATCCTTCCAGACAATGCGCTCAATCGGTATTAGAATGGAGGCGGCGGGCGAGGAACTAAGGATATATGCAGCATACCGCCCGCCAGGGACTCCATTCTGCTCCTCAGACATCCGGAGAGTGATGGAAGGCGATGGACCTGTTATCATCGCCGGGAACCTGAACGCCAAACACCCGGCGTGGGGGTCCAGAGTGATCACCCCGCCGGGTCGTGAACTATATGAAGACGCCGAAAAGTACCAATACGACGTTCTAGGTCCCGAGGAACCGACTCACGTTCCTACTGACCCAAGGAGGCATCCGGATGTATTAGACATCGTGCTCACTAGGAACGTCAACTATCCGATAGTGGTAGAAGTGCTGTACGACCTACCTTCACAGCACCTCCCGTTACTGATAACCCTTGGCCTGAAGGCGGTGACTACGCCGCCCAGAGCGTTTAAGACACGTGTCGACTGGAGGCTCTACTGTCAACACCTGCAGCAGCGACCTCCAGCATACCAGCCAATAAGCACAGCGGACGACGTAGAGGCCGCTGCAACCAGAATCACTAATAACATCAAGGAGGCCCTTCACGCGGCCTCTACGATCGTCCCGATCACAGCCAGGCGAGACGATCTGCCGCTTAACATATGCGTGCAGATCAGGCGCAAGAGAGCGTTGAGAAAGCTCTGGGCGCGTACTCGCTGCCCTAGATTAAAGACCCAGCTCAACACCATCTCGGAGGAACTGTCGGTTGCAGTCCAGGCCTTTAGAGGCGACGCTTGGGATCGGCGCATCAGGAAGGCCGAGGAGCAAGATGCGTCGCTCTATAAACTGAACCGGCAGTTAACTAGAACCAAACCTCCCGTTTGCCCGCTGATTAACAACGCAGGCAAACGCAGCTATGATGCCAAGGGCAGAGCGGATATCCTAGTCGAGCACTTCGAGGAGCAATTTATGCCGAACCCAGCAAGTGCGGAGTTCATGGAGCTTCATGCCAGGAAGGAAAGTCGCGTGCAGGATTTCCTGTCGTCGCCCGCGCCGCCTCTTGCAGGAGAGTGGTTCATCTCCCCCCGCTGAATTGCGGAGGACAGTAACCCGCCTGCAACCGAGGAAGGCGCCGGGGCACGACGGGATTACCAACGCTGCACTCCGACAGCTGCCCAATAGAGTCATAGTAAAGCTTGGTCGACTCTACAATGGGATATTGCGGACATCCCACTTCCCGGAGATATGGAAAACAGGCAAAATTATCGTCTTGCCGAAACCCGGGAAGGACAGGCGTAGAGCTGCCAGCTACAGGCCGATCACGCTATTACCACACATAGCTAAACTGTTCGAAAGATTGCTGCTAAGACGTCTCCGTCCGTGCATCCAACTTCGGGCGGAGCAGCACGGATTCAGGAGAGGACACTCTACAGTCACACAATTGACTAGAGTGCTGCACCTGCTTGCGGCAGAGTACAATCGTGGCCGCATATCGTTGGGCGTCTTCCTCGATATCGAGAAGGCGTTCGACCGGGTGTGGCACACAGGACTACTATACAAGCTGAAAGAACAGACCAGTGTCCCTCTTGCTATGTTGCGGTTAATGGCGTCTTTCCTGGAAGACAGGAAGTTCTACGTCTGCGTAGAGGACGCCGAGTCCGCAACTAAAACCATCAGAGCCGGCGTTCCACAGGGCAGCTGTTTGTCACCAGTCCTGTACGCGGCTTATACTAACGACATACCTACACTGGCAGGCAGGCTTCAAGAGTGGGAGGACGACGTCGAGCTGGCGCTATACGCGGACGATAGCACCTATTTCACCTCGTCCAGAAGAGCCCACATAGCCACTGCCAAGATGCAGCGTCTGCTGGACCTGCTGCCACCATGGCTGGATGAGTGGAGGATGGTCGTCAACGTTGGTAAGACGACCGCTCTGCTCACTCGCCGTCTCAGGAATTTACCACCTCCGCTGACCCTCAACGGCCAGGAGATTGCGTACCAGAAGGCCGTAACTTACCTTGGGTGCAAGATCGACAGGACGCTGCGCATGACCGCGCACGTCGACTTCGTCGTCCGCCGGGCCCGATGTGCGCGGGCGACGCTCTTGCCGGTACTTGCATCCAAATTGCCTATAAACACCAAGCTCCGGATATACAAGATGTATATCCGGACCATCATCACGTATGCTGCACCGGCCTGGTACGCACTTCTGAGCAACCCTCTGAGGCGGCGACTGCAGGCCCAGCAGAATCTGACATTAAGGACGATCGTCGGAGCAGGTCGCTACGTCCGGAATGACGTCATAGCGGCCGATCTGAAAGTCGAGACCATCACCGACTTCGTGGCCCGGTTAGCGCGCGGCATGTTTGACCGTGCCGATAACGGGCCACATGAACACCTGAACGGCTTTGCGCCGCTACACACCCGGCCACCGGACGGGCGACCTCTTCCAAGAGAACTCCTCTCTATATGTGATTAGAGAGTTGAGTAACAACCCACAATGCCGCTGAAAGGCCAACTCTGTCTATATTAGATAACCACTCTTTTTTCCGTAATTAACCAATTACGGAAAAACCGGACTTACCATCACGCCTGAATAGGCAACAAGGACTGTCCCATAATGATGGGACATGAGGACACCCGGGCAATGGGGGCCACCCCGAGGCCCGATACCTGCACGTACGTCAGTGCGTGTAGACGACAATCAACGCTTTAACACTTTGATTATGCAAATGTCAGGAAATATACTTTGTATTTATTTACTCTGTGCTACAACCACATTATTAGGATTCGGAGAAGGTTCGCGTTATTGTGGCATGTCACACGAAGTAGTTTTTCCATATCATGAATCATTCAAGCGTACTCGAATAGCACTAGAAAATGATTGAAGTAACTAGAAAGTTCTCGAACTCATTTACAAATATATTATTTAATATAAACACAGTAAATAATTCTTCACATCGTTAGAATATTCATCCGAACCCAATGAAATTTTGAGTCTTGAACTTTTTAAAGCGACAGCGCGCCTCGAACATAAGTCTGGCAGCAACATCATATCGCATCAGCGTAGATAGCTTTCATCGCCTGTTTAAATGTAGTATAAAATATTTTAACGCCTTGCGCAGTAAATATCAGCTACTGTTGGCATCAATCCGCCAAGAAATATCCTACTCGTTGAAATCGGGAACTGCCAGTTTAGTGCTAAAAATGTTACTACGTCATAATGTTTGAGTATTCACCCACACCATTTTTACCCGACCATTGTAACCGATTTGGATTCGCTACCCGGAGGATCCGGTACTTTTTTACGATGCCGCCGGGCACTAGATAATGACGATGGGTACCAGACAATGGCCGGCAATTAAAAACAGCACATTTATCGTTATTTCATTTATATTTATTTATTCAAGCCGAAAAACAAAATTATCTAATAAACAAATTTTTTTACACAATTATAACAATCAGCCTTTAATTAACTTTGAATATGAAATCTACTTTGAATAGTAAGATGGATAGACTGAGATAAGGTACTCGGTGGGACTGATGAGCACACGGCGCTCGTCCGTGCTATGCGGTCAGCATAAAGTATTTTATAAACACCCGGTACTCAGTTCCACAACAGCATACATCTAACAGAACTTTATCGAATTTAGGAAAAACAGCCGAAAATCTAAGCAAAAACTACTATTTACCTAATGGCGGTGTAAGAATATGCATACCGTTCCGAGGGTGTCGTAAGGAGCGACAAAGGGCAGCATCTTGTTTCTAATAACAACCAAAAAAGCGGTCTAGGTGCGCCCCGAAAGGACTGCACGACTATCTTCCCAGTGGAAAGAATAAAAAAATATCATGTTTTAATATTTTGTACATTTTTATTCGGCACAAAAAACGACGCGACCGCGTTTAATTATGATTTAATGTTGATGTTATGCGTTAAATGAAACTGGTCCCATGTCAATATTACTCTTTGTTCTCGAGATGTACGAGGCGAAAATTGAATCCGAACATAGGGTAAAATACCCAGTAGTCAGCCTTTTAGTGAGGACTAAAATTTGATTCAATGAGGATCAGTAAAGTTATAGAAAATTCAATAAAACTAGTATCCACGTTATTCTTTATGATATAAGAATGATATATCTTTTTGGATTATCCAAATCGGACTATTACTTACGAAGATATTAAGTAATAAATATAGGCCGTTCCTGCCGCTAAAAGTTAACGTACGCAGGTTCACGTGACGTCACTGTAACGGAACCGAACGCATCATAGTAGTTCATACATGTATTCTGTGGTAGTTCACGATTCGACGGAGCGCGGAGACGCAGTTGGGCACTATATTTGGCAATTTATTTAAATAAAGTGTTGTTACAGTGTAATTTTGTGATTGTTTAAGTATTAAAGATACATAATATGAGTGCTAATAAAGTAGAAGCTGGTTTTGTGCAAGCTCAATCAGATAACCTTCCAAAAGTGGATTCTTTCATGGTATTTGATTATCTAAGTAATCATTCTAAGTTCACCAGCGCTGAAGTCCGTGGTTGGAAACTACAAAGGTAAGGGTGCTGCTTATTTATCTACGTTCGTAGGTACTTATTAGTAATCTTTAGGAATAAGCTGTATAGGTAAATAAATGAAAGAATGAATGTTGTAAAGTATAGTTACGGGCAAAGATGTATAAACATCTTAGGTTACAGGGACGTATTCATAACTTATGAATAGTGTTTATAGTATCTTGATAAAAGGAATGTTGTTTTCGTTCATTCGTATGTAGATCATTTTGCAGATGATTTTTAAATTACTTGCACTTTATTTATTGCATGATTCCCTACACTTGCTGATCTAGACAGAAACCTTAATATTGATTGTAAATGGCAGATTTTTTTTCCATCTTGCTCATTGTTACAAATCATTCGTTCAGTATGTATTTAAGTAGGATGACTTGTTTTGTATAAAAAATATATAATACTAGCGAACACCCGTGACTTCGCCCGCATAGACTACTATTTATTTATCGTAGAGGAACCGTGTATTTTTCCGAGATAAAGCACTTTTTATACCAGAAAAAATGCACGGTTCCTGTAAAATTTCATCCATATCTGTTCAGCAGTTTTTGCTTGAAAGAGGAACAAAGATACATTCATCCTCACGAACTTTCACATTTATAATATTAGTCGGAAGTAAAATATAGTAGTAGGATAGAATTTTGTTATTTGTATATATTTTTTAATTCATTTTATTTATTTATTACAGATCGGCACGTGAAACCTATGGAGATGATGCTGTAGGATTTGTTCAAGTCCAGAGGTCGGGACGTGTTTGTACGGTAAAAGCAAAAATAACGCCTGAACATAGAATAAAAAGTAAAGCGTATAGCTGTACATTTACATGTGATGAAAAAGAGGAAACGGTTTTGAACGTGGACTGTCATGACTGTGCTGCTCAAAAGGGAGGTTGCAAACATAGCGTACCGTTTTTGATGTGGCTTCATAGACGCAGCGAGGAGCCATCTCCTACTGAAAAAAAAATGTTACTGGGCCAAACCAAAGCTGGCTACCATAGGTACTAAATTTATAAAAGCTAAAGATGTGGGTCCCATTTCAGTTACTACTGAAGATAAAAATACTGATAACACCAATTCAGATCAGTTTTTCCTAGCAGTTGTGCAAAGCCTAAAGGAACATTCTATTAAAAATCAGTTATCAGTATACGTAACAAAGAATGAGTATAAAAAATTGTCTTTGCATAACCTCATTCATCAATACAAAAATGAAGGCAATAATATAAATAGTGCAGATGATTTTATTGATTATTGCTCTACTAAAATCACCATAGAAAAATGTCACAAAGCAGAGGAAGCAACAGTTTGTCAAGCTAGTTCACCGTTATGGCATGAGTTAAGGTATTGTAGAATAACCGCGTCTAAAGTTCACGAAGCTGCACATTGCAAGACTCCTGATGGTGCTTTGATTGAACAAATATTTGGTGCCTCTGTACCCGAGACTCTGTCTATGAAAAGAGGCAAACGATTGGAATCCAATGTCAGAGCAGAAGTAGCCAAAACAAGGAAAATAGTTATTGAAAATTGTGGTTTTTTTTTTAAAACCTGATTGGCCTCATTTAGGTGCTTCTCCAGATGGATTGACAAGTGAATACGTAGTAGAAATAAAATGTCCCTCGACAAAGAAAGGAAAGGAAAGTTTTGTAAAGGATAATGTTATCGGCAGCAAATGGAAAGCTCAAATTCAGCTACAAATGTTTTTATGCAATAAAGTCAAGGGATTGTTTTGTGTAGCTAATGAAAATTTTGAAAGCAATAAAAAAGTAGAAATATTTGAAGAATATTATGATGAAAACTATTGTACTGATCTTTTAGAGAAGTCCACGCATTTTTGGAAAACATCAGTGTTTCCAAAACTAGTTGAGACTTAAAATTATTCTTTTATTAATAATATGACATGTGCTTTTGATGTTGCGAGGTTGTCGAAATAAAACTATAAAAGAAACGAAAGCATTATTTTTACACTTGACTACTAAATAGACAATTCTGTAAATTAACTAAACCACAGGCTATTGTTACAATATTATCTAAAAAATGTACGTATGAAATATCGACACATGCGTGAGGTCCGATCATTTTAAAGTCTCTCAACTTCCCTATGCTTCTTTCAACGTGAACCCTTATAGCAGCGATTCTCTTTGTTTGCAAGACTTCCTCTGCTGTAAGTTTTGAGTTGGAACTCACACTAGGCGGCCTCAGGAGTGTACAACCACGTTGTTCCAGTAAATGGGAAATATTTTTGAAACCCCTATCAGCTAACACAATACTTCCTTGTGCCAATTTGTCAAGAAATCCGCTGTCTTCAAATATTGTTGAGTCTGGAGTCCTCCCTCCATATCCCTCAGAGATAAAGTTTATCAAACCGTCAGGTGTAATTGAAATCAAGTACTTAATGGTATTGCAGCTTTTATATTGAGACCATGTAGCCGCTTGGTGCGAAGCGTTACTAGGTTTCTCGATTTAAATTTCAAAACAATCGATTATTGAAATCGCTTTAGAATAGCGCTTCCTAAAAGCTATCGGCAAGTTTTCTCTGACATCATCTGCTGATGGGCAGATAATAATTCGATTCAGGCACAGTGCAATTTTTGGGAGAGTTTTATCAAAATATTTAGTCACAGAACTCTCAGAGAGGCCAAAATGTATTGCAAGCATTGAATTTGGGTCATGCCATCGGATTTTTCGTAAAGTCACTAGGATTTCAATAGATGATATTTCCGTGAAGTTTTCTAAATGTTTAATACAAAAATATGAATGGGCAGGAATGCCTATCAGTAATTTTGGATCTCGAGATATAGACATTAGAGCGCCCTTTTGCATATGCTCATGGAAGAAATTTTTGTGCATTGTTTTTGTTATTTCTAAATCATTCGACTCGTTATCACTAGCACTAACACCAAAAGAACGAGTATTTTCACTTGAGTTTGAGTTGCTGATCGTGAAGCTAACGTTTGGATCAAGATTTTTAGGGATTACTTTTTTAAACTATTGGTTGTTTCCACTTCATTGGCGTATTATTCGATTTAGTTTTCATTTTTGGTTTCATATTAACCTGCACTGTTTGTGTTTTTTGACCCCTTACATTGTTTTTTTGATAATACGTCTATTTCTTCAGGTATGTAAAGGGGATCACTGTTTTGGATGTTATTTGAGTCTTGATTCTCACACTCTACTACTTCAATGGAATGCAACAACAGGTCTTCGTGTCCAATATCTTTACTTAAAACTCTTTCAAAATATTCTATGTCTTGTCGTTTTTTAAAACCGGGTCTGTCAATTTTCTTTTTTTGAGGCTTTTGGCATTCAAACTTATGAGGCAAAACTCCCTTCTTCAGTTTAAGCTTTCCTCCAACTAACTTAAACTTTACGTAATTTTCCATATCTTCTTCTAACTGAAATATAAAAATGTATATAAGTATTAATTTATTTGCCTCTATCAATAAGGCATAGCTGAGGCAGATACATAAATTCACCGCTGTTATGTAAATGGTTAAAGAATATTATCATTCACTCTTTGCTTTTTACCCGAGTACGTCTCTAGGTCATTGTTTTGACCTTTTAATACGAAATACGATGCTTTTACACATAAGCAGCTGACCCGATTTTAATGACTTTTAGTATAGAGATAACTGAGATCTTAAAATTGATATAGGCTACTTTTTATCGCAAAAATAAAACTTTAAGGGGATGAAATAGAGGTGTGATAAAAACTTTCTGTGACAAACTGAATTCAACGCGGGCGAAACCGCAGGCAAAAGCTAGTAATACATAGAAATGGGAACGGGCGAATATATAGGTTTACGTTATTAGATACGTTAGTACGTAGGTTTATCAACAAAACTTAGAAAAAGTAAATAGGTATGTTTTTATTAATACAGCAGGCTTAAAATAAGAGAATACACAGGTACACTACATGTAACATAAGGTACCAACGTATTTCCATATCAACTAAATAATAGGTATAATAGATATGTAGGTACGTACATCGAAGTGATCTTCACAGCAATGTCTTGTAGCCTGGGCAGAGGGTGTAGTTTTATCATCTCTTTTTGCAATGGAATACCATTTTTTACGAAGTTTTGTGTCTTTCGGTACGTTAAAAAATAGTTTTTCTGGTGTTTTAATAGAAGTGTTTGTACATTTCGGCACTATACAATATTTATACATAGTTAAAAAGGTGAATTAGACACAAATCGGACACTTAACTTGTTTCAAAGTTACAATTAACCAAACAAAATACTGCGCGCCTTATCGCTGCCAACGGCTAACTGGCGAAGACCGTCATAGTGACGTCACAGGTACCGCGCCGGGCCGTCAGTGAACTTCGCTAGTAATTTGGCCATAACTTCGTCATACTTTGTCGTAGAACAAAAATTTTTGCACTGTATCTTAAGGATTTCCTAGATCTATAAATCTGCATTCTCAACTAAAAACGTTACGGATCCTCATTGTATTTTAAAATATTAAACACTATGAACAAAAACAATCATTATTCTTAGAAAAGTTGTTTATTAAATTTACTAAAGAAATTAACAAAAAAATATATTTATAATAGAATTATATAAAAAATCAGTAGTAAACAAATTATGGCACTTTTCACCAGTAGTTGAATGTCGTCTTCACGCACTGACGTACGTGCAGGTATCGGGCCTCGGGGTGACCCCCATTGCCCGGGTGTCCTCATGTCCCATTATTATGGGACAGTCCTTGTTGCCTATTCTAGGCTAAATAGCATACCGGTTTTTTCCGTATTAATGAATTATGTTATTTCCGTAGTTAACCAACTACGGAAAAAGGTGGTTATCTGATTGAGTCTAGGTTGGCCTTTCAGCGGCATTGAGGGTTGTTACTCAACTCTCTAATCACATATAGAGAGGAGTTCTCTTGGAAGAGGTCGCCCGTCCGGTGGCCGGGTATGCAACGGCGCAAAGCCGTTGAGATGTTCATGTGGCCCGTTATCGGCACGGTCAAACATGCCGCGCGCTAACCGGGCCACGAAGTCGATGATGTTCTCGATCTTCAAATCCGCCGCTATCACGTCGTTCCGGACGTAGCGACCTGCTCCGACGATCGTCCTTAATGTCAGATTCTGCTGGGCCTGTAGTCGCCGCCTCAGAGGGTCGCTCAGAAGTGCGTACCAGGCCGGTGCAGCGTAGGTGATAATGGTCCGGATATACATCTTGTATATCCGGAGCTTGGTTCTTATAGGCAGCTTGGATGCCAGGACCGGCAAGAGCGTCGCCCGCGCACATCGGGCCCGGCGGACGACGAAGTCGACGTGCGCGGTCATGCGCAGCGTCCTGTCGATCCTACACCCAAGGTACGTTACAGCCTTCTGGTACGCAATCTCCTGGCCGTTGAGGGTCAGCGGAGGTGGTAAATTCCTGAGACGGCGAGTGAGCAGAGCGGTCGTCTTACCAACGTTGACGACCATCCTCCACTCGTCCAGCCATGGTGGCAGCAGATCCAGCAAACGCTGCATCTTGGCAGTGGCTATGTGGGCTCTTCTGGACGAGGTGAAATAGGCGCTATCGTCCGCGAATAGCGCCAGCTCGACGTCGTCCTCCCACTCTTGAAGCCTGCCTGCCAGTGTAGGTATATCGTTGGTGTAAGCCGCGTACAGGACTGGAGACAAACAGCTGCCCTGTGGGACGCCGGCTTTAATGGATCTTGTTGCGGATTCGGCGTCCTCTACGCAGACGTAGAACTTCCTGTCTTCCAGGAAAGACGCTATTAGCCGCAATATAGCAGGAGGGACACTGGTCTGTTGTTCCAGTTTATATAATAATCCTGCGTGCCACACCCGGTCGAACGCCTTCTCGATATCGAGAAAGACGCCCAACGATATGCGGCCACGATTGTACTCTGCCGCAAGCAGGTGCAGCACTCTAGTCAGTTGTGTGACTGTGAAGTGACCCCTCCTGAATCCGTGCTGCTCCGCCCGAAGTTGGATGCACGGACGGAGACGTCTTAGCAGCAATCTTTCGAACAGTTTAGCTATATGTGGT